TACTTGAGAATTAATCTGATGCTTACTAGCGACTGGTCCTATTCAGGCAGTGACCTAGGGCTCTGGTGGGAAGCCGTGACCAGTAGGGTACAGCAGGTTGAAAATGAGGCAGCAACTCATCGAAGCAGAAGACATTGTGAAATGGTCGTGCTATTTCGTGAATTGGTAGAAGTTAGAATTCATGCACTGGACATTGATTCGGGTCCCAGTGGCTTAGTGGCCTGCGAGCTCACTGACCTTGTAACCAGAAGGTCGTAGGTTGGAACACCGTGGTGTGGATGCGTACCGATGAAGAGTCACAAACTAAGACGAAACAACTGTCCAGTATTCTCAGGTTTTCCAGGGGTTCTGTAACTGATGCAAGCTAAAATTATCAGTTAATTGAAATAGTGACAGCATAGATTACAAACAGGAGACGATTAAAGAGCCTTTTATTTCGCCAATTAGATAATAACTTGTAAGTTTCACACTTGACAGTATCTTTATCACATAGAACGCCATCGGATCAAGTATGGTATCATTGGGTTTCTGCACTTGGTTGTAAGAGCAAATAGTCTCTTATTATGATAACTTCTAGCCTCACTTGATGAGATTCAAGTGGGTGGAGAGAGTTGAGAATACACAGGGTGTTTTGACAGTCATACAACATGAAATTTAGTCCATTTCTCAGATGAGTTCAGGTGTTAGTAGACAACAATAGTAACAAGCTGGCTGATTTAGTGTTGCCAACTTGTAACATCCTTCACAGTATGACGTAATCGTTCTTGATTAGCAGAGGGAAGACTAAGTAGAGGCAGCAGTAAAGTACAGTAGGTAAGATAAAAGAGTTTACAAATTGTAAACGTAGAGGTTGTGTGATTCTAGATTGTCATAACTTCTTAGTGTTGTATGTTAGATGGAATGTTTTCTTAGAAATAACTGTGAACCAGTGCTGAAAGTCTCACTATGTAACATGCATAGCAATAGTACAATGTCCAGTCACTATCAACAGACGTTTATTCATTAAAAACAATTGTTCAATTTTAAATGAAGCAAAGACAACGGTTTGTGCAGAATAAGATTGCACTGTTGTATATTTCTTGACTTCCAGTGTTGCATACGACAAATGTGTCTTTAGCATATTGACAATAAGACTTTTCGTTAATTACACACTACAGTTTTGTTTTCTCAAGATTAGACATGAAAATGTCTGCTCTGTCAACACACACACACAGACTTAGCTGTGAACAGTTCACTAAACGCTGTAATAGAAGACGTCTTCACATCTAATTCACTGATGTCACTTGATGGTTTCCTCAGAGTATGGCCAGCCAATCCATCTCCATTTCTTCCTGCCTATTTGTTGCACAGTCGGTTCCTGCTGTGTTGGTTCGCTCATTGACAGAGATCCCTGTTGCTGATCTTTTCTGGTCATCTGATCTTGAGTATTGAGCGGAGACAGTTGTTAATGAAGGTTTGAAGTTTGTTTGAGATGCTCTTTATGACTCGCCAAGTCTCTGATCCGTATAGTAGCACTGACTTCACATTGGAGTTGAAAATCCGGATCTTATTTTTGATGCTGATTGCTGTTGACCTCCACACAGATTTGAGAGTAATGAAAGCTTGTCTTGCTTTTCCGATCTCGCTTTGATATCCTCGTCAGTTCCGTCTGCCTGTAGTTGAAACGACGCTTCCCAGGTAGGTAGGTTAAGGAGGTTGTTTCTTTCAGATTCCCTTCGATTTATGCTGGCTGATTGTCGTCTGTTGTTGTTGTTGCTGTTGGTGTTGGCCAGGAATCTTCATCATCTCTGCTTTATCTATGTTCACTTGAAGGATGTCCTTTCTTTGATGCTCCCTTCTTCTGTCAGCTTGTTGCTTTTCATCACTTGCATATCTTCGAGTTTGTGGGAAATCAGACATGTATATATCGTCGGTAAAGTCCAGATCCTCCAAGCTCTATTTTTGTGAGTTCATTTTATGCCTTTTTCCTCGCTGCCCACTCTTTGTCGCGTTATTCAGTCTATCGCAATCGGCAAAAATCATTGGCGATAGTAGGCAGCCCTCACTTACTCCCGTCTTCAATGATAAATTCATTCAAGTGTTTGTATAGTCTAAGCAGTGGTGACTATATAGTCAGAATGTGTATACCAGCAGGGGTAGAGGCAAAAATAATTATCTTCCCATAGCGATTAGATAATATGCTGATAAGAATGAATCGCGATAAAGAGATTAAAATATACAACTACAGCACAGCATGATATTGATAATACAGTTAGCAGTACAAACAAAAACAGAATGAGGTTGTAGCGGTAAATAATTCCCCAAAATTATTGGCTACGGCATTCATCACTGGATATTGGATGCTGACCCTCACTCTTTAAGTCGACATGTTTCGCTGAAGGCTTCCGGTCAAGCACCCATGTCATTTGGTACTCCGTGGTGTCAAGTTCGTGCACGATCTCTAGCCAGCTAAGCAATCATCTCACACTCCAATTTGGTCCCGAAATATATCTCGTAATTTGGATGACCAACGTTGGTGTTTTGCTTTGCCTTTGGTTTACGCGGGACGAATACTATAGAAGTTGTGGGTATTAAATCTTGCATTAGTATACTGTGTACTATCCGTAAGCGTCAATGCTGTCAGTCTCCAAAAGCTAATATTTACAATTATCCAGTGTTCACGGGAGAGATAAACAGTCTAGGTTCGTAGGGAATGCCATGGGAGGTAGAGGGATTGAACAAACTTCTTCTGAACACGGAGAGTGCCTTGGAAAGTCTTTATGGCTATTGTCTTAGCTCTGCTTAGCAACCGAACAGGTAAAAGTCTAGGGAGTTGAGGTGGTGCTTTGTGTTGAATTGTAAAGGCTGGATTTCTGTCAATCCTGTGCCTTGTATCCACCACAAAGTGTGTCACTTTGAAAATTTTGATTGAATTTATAATTCCTGTATTTGACTACGTTGGACAATGCTCCTTAAGGCGACGGTGGGCTTGCCAAGTCGTTCTTGATATGTAACTGTCTTCACATGCACATGGAAGTGACCAGAATCACTAGGTTATACTTCACCTGCATTGGAATTACACGACGAATGGGAATTTCAAACACAGTATGGCGGCAAAGGATGTTTTAGCCATTATATTTCGGAGTTTTGGCGCCATGTATTCAGTGGCTTTTTCTTCTTTCAAACGGTAAAATTCAAATGTATACGTTTCTTCTGCACTGTTTGAAAGCATTTCTCTATTTTCAAAAGAATGGATACTGAAAAATGAGTACCCTTTTTGATAAACTGATCATCAGGCTATACAGTCATATATACATTATAGTGAATGAATGAATTAGTGTTATTATTATTATTGTATCCTTTAGTTCCTAGAGAAACATAGGGCTTCAGCTGCGCACCTCCATTGCCTTCTGTTTTCTGACAACTTTTTCACCTCGCTCCAGGTCTGTCCACATGCTTTCATCTCCTCCTCGCATGACCTCCTCCAAGTCACCCTTACACTGACGACCAACTCGCCGCCTCCCTTTCGGGTTCCACTCGAGCAATGCCTTGTCTAGTGATGTCACTCACTTGATGGTTTCCTCAGAGTATGACCAGCCAATCCATCTCCATTTCTTCCTACCTATTTGTTTCACAATCGGTTCCTGATTGGTTCGCTCCCAGAGATCCCTGTCGTTGTTATGAACAACATTAATGTTGTTTAAATAATATCGAATCAACAATATTGATAGATTACAGCTCAATAGCATCAACATAAAATAAGCGGAATGTCAGAAAAATTAGGAGAGATAATATTACAAATTCATGAATTTATAGTCTGTACTGAAGGCCTAGGCGGTAGTAGGGGCTGAAATTGCTTCTTTTGAAAACAGAGCGCTGGTTGTTTGAGGCGAATCGCAAAAGCCTCTGCTGGTTGGAGCATGCAGTGCTTCGATGATTTTGGCAATTTATTTGGTACCCGTTAGATGGTGATAGAGAAGGATTCTTCCACGCTGTCCTTGTAGCCGGTTTGCATCAGACGGTCTAGTATCGAACTTTACTTAGCCATACTGGGAAATGTTCCCGAGTGAGCAAGAAAAATCAAGTTCTTAGAGCAACGGCCGATATAACTCGCTCCACTAAAGGCGCAGTTGAATTGGTAGATACAATTTGAAGTGGCTAGTCTAGGTACTTCATCTTTCAGTCAAGGTAGCACCATCGGTCGTGTAGAGAATAGGACGTGTAGTCCGCCAGCATTAAAAGTTCTTTGAACTGATTTTCTTAATTTCTTCGCAGTCACCTCACTTGGTATATCGCCCTTGAATTGTAGTCGTATATAGAGTGGCTTCTTGTCTACAGATTGTGAGTAGTCCTTTTCCGCTTTGTTTGTCATACATTCCTTGATAAATTTGTCGGGATAGCCATTTTTGATCAAGGTATCATATACAATGATTAATTCATCTTCAATTACTTCTTCTGAGCACATAGCTCTAACTAACTCTGTGGCTGAGGGTCTTCAGTAAATTTATTTTGTGCTTGATAGAAACGAAGCTGTGAAAATTTGTTTTCTCCTGTCCAAGTACTTTTCTGTGCAAATTTCTTTTTATGCTAACATCTGATTTTTTTGTAAGTTGGACATGCAGGAAGGCAATTCTGTCTTGAGATTCCTCTTGGCATGTGAATTTCGTAGCGAAATGTACTTCATAGTTCTTTATACTTTATAGGTCTTTATTTTTTCTCATCATGGAAACACTGACAGATTTTCCGTATATCCTTTTTTATTCAAGAATTTTTCTATTTTGTTTATTTCGTGGGTCAGAGTATCGACCATTCCGATATTTTCTAGCACGGAACATTAGCGTACTGATAAGATTTCCTTCGTGTGGAAGAGGAACAAAACGATCTGAAATGGATGTATTAGTCAACCATGCCTTCTTCCGGAAAACACCCTTATATTTATTTAAATACATTATTTCAAATGTTTATGACTAATACTTCACTATGTAACTGTAAAGTTTGTGAGAATTTACCAAAAATACGTATTTACTTGTTTCCTGTAATTATTTTAAAGGAATTTTAAGTTACTGACTAGTTTAAAAGTAATATAAATAAAATAACACAAAAAACACTCATGATTATTATTAATCGCTTATTTTTTTAAATCATTATCAAAAATACGGGATAAGAAGTTAATTATATATAAATAAAAGAATGAAAATAGCCAGGTTTTTATTAGTTAAAAGTCATAGACATTTTTTCAGAGAGACGAAGTGTATCGTTTGAATAGAACACAGAACATACTGGAAGCATACTACTGAAATGGTTAAAAACTACACCATATAAGTAGTATCAATCACAATGACAGATAATTCGACTGTCGTCTTATTTGACCTAGAATATAGGACTTTATAATGAAGAGAGTATCAACAGTGTGCCTGTCAAGTAGATTACGTCTGCCATCTTCCCTCAAATCAGTAATTTCTTGTTCTGTATGTATATGCTTATTGTCATATTATCGTTTAAATAAGAGAGGAGATGATGTTTCGGAAGAAGAATACCCCAGAGTGTGTAGTGTTATTTGATGAAGTTAGTCCGCTGAATGTCAATCTATCGGAAAATAATGGAATAGAATTTCTGAAAATCAATAAATGCTGCTTATAATAATAATGAATGTGATATTTGGAGAGAAGAGTAACTTGGAAGGATATAATTTACAGAAGAATAACTTGGGAGGGAATTGAAGGTAGAAGATACAAGCAAAGCACACGTGTTCATCATTTAATACTCCTTCATGAAACAAAGAAAAGAGGAGAAAATGATGTTGTGAAGATGAGAAAGCCTCTGTAGAAAGTATTCCTGACTTCATTTTCTACCTAATCGAACATTTCCGCTGAGATGTGTTGAGTCATGTTTGCGTCGATGTTTATGGATGACGGACGAGTCATCTGAATATTTCTATGATCATTATTGGTATTATTATTACTAATATGATTGTGATTTTGGTTGTCTGTAGCATTCGGTAGTTTACTCCATGGTTGGATCTCTCCACTTGTCATCCATAAATTCATTAATGCACCGAACCAAGCTATGCCAGCAGTGATACTGAATACAAATAACCAGTTATGAACACTTGACTGTGAAAAAACAAAACAAAACCAAAAAAATTAGTATAGAATTTAAAAACGGTAAATTTCTTCATTTGAAATCACCGAAAATGCTCATTAAGTCAAGAAGAGATTGCTTCTTATGAACATTGTATTTAAAGGTGGTGACACTACATCTGAGATCCTGAAAAATCGCTGCTTATGCAGATCACTGACGATAGCCTTCTTTGCGGCTGAGCTATGGAGCAATTTCTACAACCACGACAAATGATTAATGGATGTGTGAAGCATAAATTACCGGCATTTTGGGCCACTTCAGTGTGTGTTTATAAATTCCTCTGCTCGTGTGGAGCTAGTTATATTAAACGCACGCTTTCCAAACGCATTTCTAAGCACTATCGACATGGTTAGCAAAAGGACAATGCAAGACAGTTACTAGCTCAATTCTTGAGCACTTGGTGAACTCAAGCCACGTAGCTCCACCAGAGTCGTCTTTCAACATCATCTACAAAGTGAGGCTAAATGGCATAAAGGGCATCAGGTTTCGGTATTTGTGTATCGCGGAGGCGCTGGCAATTCATCAATGCAACCCTGAACTCTGTATACAGAAAAAGTTTGTCCAGTCTCTTATTTTACCCCCTGGTCTTAATATCTTCACTAGTCGTTCCCTGTAAAAATGTTTCGATTTTTTCCTTTGCTTTCAATTTTTAATTTTACTTTTAGTTTGCTTTAATAATTAATTCACTATTATCAGTTTCATATGCTCTTTTTGTATATTTTCACACTCTCTTCACACTTGTTAAATTGACATTCAAATACTTTTATTCTCACTCAAGAGCAATTTTATTAACTTATCAAACTTCTATCTTTGTTGCTTTCAGTACCACTAGGCAACATCTTCTTTCAGGGCATACTTTAATTTGAATTGAAGTGAGCTTTTAGATTTCTCCACGAGTTTGTTAGACAGCTCTCCTGCTGGGTGACCTTCAACGTGATTGGTTGTTTTTGTGTGTCTTCACTTACACTTGTTTTGGTGTTGATTGTTTCCCAGACTTCAACTTAGACCCTTTGTGTATGAAACTTCTTTCTTATCGGCTGGTAAATTTTGTCTATCTTAATATATCTATTGATTGATGATTCATATCGAGATAGAGAAAATTTACCAGCCGATAAGAAGGAAGTTTCATACACAAAGGGTCTAAGTTGAAGTCCAGGAATCAATCAACACCAATATGAATACAAGTAGCCTAGGATAAGTGAAGACACACAAAAACAACCAATCATGTTGAAGAATACCTACCAGGAGAGATGAATAATAAACTCGAGGAGAAATCTAAGAGGTCGCTTCAACGAATTGAAGTATGCACTGAAGATGTTGCTTAGTATTATTATTATTATTTTTATATCCTTTAATTCCTAGAGGAACATAGGGCTTCAGCTGCCCGTCTTCATTGCCTTCGGTTTTCTGCCAGAGTTTTCACCCCGCTCCAAGTCTGTCCACATGCTTTCATCTCCTCTTCATATCACCTCCTCCAAGTCACCTTTGCACTGACAAACAAATCGCCACTTCCCTTTCGGGTTCCACTCGAACAATGTCTTGTCTAGTGATGTCTCTTGATGGTTTCCTCAGAGTATGGCCAGCCAATCCATCTACATTTCTTCCTGCCTATTTGTTGCACAATCGGTTCCTGCTGTGTTGGTTCGCTCATTGCCAGAGATCCCTGTTGCTGATCTTTTCTGGCCGGCCATCTGATCTTGATTAGGGGGCGATGAAAGCTTCGCAAATTAACTACCCACCTCAGGGAACCCAACCTTATCAAAATCATCCAACTGAGCTAAAAATCTTCTCCATGACCCTTGTCAATACTTACTAATCTTCAATCTCCACCCCCCGCCCCCACACCACAATAATAAAATAAAAATAAGTAAGGCTGTGGTGAAAGCAGCCTGCTAACCAATGGGTTGACATTAATCTACGTCAATATCTAGGTCATTAATATGGGCCGTGAGAAAATATGAACAAGGCTGTTTCAACAACCAATCACAGCGGACCTAAACGTGGGCAAATATGATTCGCAGATAGATGGTTCCACTTTACGAGGAACTCGAAATCAACTAATCAGAAGACTGCGTTTGTCTACTTGACTAAGTCGTACTAATGTATGTAAAATTTATATAAATACGTGTTGATTTTCGTAATAAAACGATCTGTTGCCTGGCCCTTGTCTTCTGTTGTTACAAGGCTGTCTGTTAACTTCAAATAAGAATCCATTCATACATAAGTACAATCCAAAGCAGAAACTACTGGGGCAGAAATGAGAAGATCATCATCATATTTATTGAAGTTAGTTTTAGAAAAAACATGGAAGAAAGACAACAGAACTGGAGATAGGCACAGCGCTCTCAGACACACGAGGTGCAGCACTTTCTTTTCAAAACAGTATGCTGTTTCTACCCGAAAAAACTGCACGGATTTCAAATCACGAATAATACAAAGAAAAAGCAAAAAATCAGCTCCTTTCTTTCATTTCATCAAATTCATATTTAATACTATTAACAGTAATAATAAAATTAAAGAAGTACAGCCTTAGGAGTGAATTATAGCATTGGTGACCTTGAAACAACCAATCAGAATCGACGCGGCATTTTTTGAATTGATAGGGTAATAAATTAAACAAAATGTCTCATGGTTGATTGCTTAAATTTATGGCATCATAATAAAAAACGTTAATGCGCAGTATCTGCAGTCAGACTTTTGCTTATCGTCGCGAAAAGTTTTCTTTAGTACAGTAGAATACATTTCAAATCGTACATTCTACTTTCTACAATGGATAGGAGGTCCCAAACTTTGTGGATTCGATTGCCGGTGAGGCCATAGATGTTTATTGCTGAAGAGTTTTAAACTAGGGTTAAGTAGTGGTCTAGTACTCTTTGATTTTCTGTGGTTGCTTGGCTAATATTAACTTGTGGTAGGAATTTTTAGTAGCCCGAGCTTAGGATGCTTCATATTGCTTATGTAAAATGCGGATAGCGTATATGAAACGGTGTCGCATCCATCTACAGACTAGTTCCGAAGTCTGTTAATCGTTATTTACATCACAGATACAATGACTATCTGTTATTCAGGGAAACACCCTTTTTAATCAGTTTCCCTGTTACTTTTTGAATATCATCAGCGTAAGTCTTTTCTAATGTCTACCTAGTTATCGATTTCTCTAACAGTAAGTGATTGAAAATTCACAGTTCTTAACCAATATTTAAGTAGATATCTAGTGATTATAATAAGGTGGAGTAAAATTCTACTGGTGAGAGGTTTAATTAAAAACTAGAAGCTCCTTTATGAGAACTTTGTTCGTAGAACAGGCTTTTCATTGCTTCAAGGGTATGAGTCACACAATTATTGTGTACAACCCGAAGATACTACCCAGTTGCCAAAGCTGAATTAGGCGGAGTGGAATTCAAGCCCAATAAGATTATAGACAACATGATAGTTGTGTGACAGACAATAAAATATATGAAGTTCAGTCAACAGAAACTTTCAGCGAAAATTAATTTCCGTCTCCAGTCAGCCAGCGGTAAAATGATGAGTTCTTCAAGTACTTTGTTTATGGCCTCGAAGACCCCTTCTTGGTATAAAGATTTCTAAGTATAAAAAGAAAATAACGCACACATCATGTGGGGTATTAGCATGCTGAGTAACATTTTGACTACTGAAACAGTAAACAATGTATTTAAGCTTCATAATGGGAGATTGCAACTCTCGCAAGTTGAGCATTATGGATTTCAACATTCTTATTTCCTAACAATTTTTTGGTTTTTTATACTTTTAAATTTGTACTACTTAGTACTTGAAAGTAGTATAGTTCTGTTTCTTTCAAAGTAGTATTGTTCCCACACCCTTAATTGTACATTTGTCACATTTAATTTGTTATATTCTTAATTCTCTTTTGTGCCCTCTGTGATAGTTCACTCGGAAACTATTAACCATGTGGCTTTCTAACTTGTGACAGTGATGTATCTTCGACATATGCCTTCGTATGCCTAGTCATCGACTTCCTCGACGGGAAATGTTAGCTGATGTAGGGTCAGGATGGAAAAGAGCTAGCCAACGGCAGTCAAACCAAAACATGGCTTCACCAGTCAATGAAATCCACAACAGTTAGTTTAAGCCAGCCACGTAGGAAGTTGGAGACTGGCTTCCTGGTTGGGGTCCTCGGGACGGTAAAAACTGATGGTTGGAAACAATCGGTGACATGGCCCAAAATCGTTCCCAATGGAGCAGATGCATCCACTCCTTGTGACTTAGGATTTCCAATGAAACTGTTTTGATCTTGGTTACTACTATTCCTTTGTCTCACACCTCTGTTTACTGCCTCTGTTATGTATTTCTTCTATTTTATTCTCTTGCTTTGTGTGGTACATGGAGGGAGTGTGGCAACTTGAACTTGAGAAGAATAGTAGCAGCTCCATCGTTGAACATCTTGTCATCTCTGGACACCGAGCACACATCCTGCATGATTGCTTCACAGAGTCCTTCAATATCTCACAAAGGGACTTCACATACGCCATCTGTACATAGTTGAATCATTAGCTATTTGGGATCCGAAACCGGACGTCTGTAATAAAAAAGCACTACAAACATTCACATTGCGTTAATAACACAACATTTTCGTACTGACTTTACATAAAAAAAACACTTCGTCGCCATTCAACTAGGTCCTGTCCATTCTTATGAGCTTATGTCATGCCCACTCTATTCTCTTTTCAACTTTCATTTAGCCATCCCTTCTATGTTACACGTTACATTACGTAATACATTTTTCGAGGAAAAATGTTATCAGTATTTGATTGCTCTTCTGATTTCTTTGTTAAATATAATGACTAAATATTCCCATAGTAAAATTTAGAACAAGACATTTAAGCGAACAGTGATATTGTGGTTTCAATTAGATCGCATCAGACTTAACTCTAATGTACTCACATAACTTTACAAATAAATATTCAAATATAAACCAATCATGGTGTTTTGTCTATAGGATTCTGCAGTTAGTCATAATAGTCATAATAATAATAATAATCCCTTGACAGAAATGGGCTATCTGAGTAGTATCATAAAGAAACATATGAAAACATTGGAGAGAAAACCTGAGACTATGACTGCATTGAAAAAATGTACATTTATTAAGTTACAATTTAATGGTGACTTATCAAGTGAGATTTTATTCAAGAGACTTCCTAGGGGTAAACGAAGAACGTTTTACGCAGCATACCTATGTTTTTCATTCTCTAGCTAACCGGGGATTGGTACGTAAACGAAGTATCAGCTTGATAGTTTTGCCACATCTATGTGCATTAATCAATTCAACTGCACTTGTGGTGACAGTTATGTTGGGCGTACTACTAGACAGCTTAGTCAACGTGTCACTACTGAACATCTCCCATTGTGGTGGTTTGGCAAAGGACAGACAAAAACAATTCGTAGGGCGATTTTGTCACATTTAATTGATAGTAGTCATATAGTGGAGAAAACGAGAGCCTTTAAAGTAATTCATCGTATCCCACCGAATCTTTCCAATAGACTTCGTATTCGTTTACTGTAGCACGCAGCTGAGGCGATAGGCATTCGAACAACTATTTGACCTAAACTATGCATTCAAAAGAAGCTCATACAGCCATTATCCTCCCCTTGACCAATTAAGGCATAACCAACTGATGACCTCTACACCACCCCTTATTTATATTTTCAACCCCTTTCTTATCATCCCTTAATCTTATCACATTTTCATTATAAACGTGTTTCATTTCCTTCCCCTACAATCTAACATTACGTAATCGGTTCATTTGTTTTTACTAGCCTTTATCGACTACTACGTCCACCTGAACGCTTGTTTGCTTAATCGTGCTGTTTTTCGTTATTCGTGTTATCACAGATGGCCTCACATTCTCAACCTTATTATTGATGAAACCATTATTATTATCCATACTACTATTACGACTAATTGCATAATTTATATTCACCATCTTATTATCCTATAGACAAACAACCATGATTGGTTTTCATATGTATATATACGTGTGTGTATAGTGGTCTCTCTTTCTATTGCTCTCTTAGTCTGTGACCGTTTCACTTTGATGAACCTGTCTCCTTTAACAATGTATATTCCCCTTATAGTATATATAATATGAGTGTTTGTTGACAGTCTGTTATATTTCGCTATGTATATATGGATCGACACTCCATTATAATTAGCCAATCATGTTAAGACTGTCTATTGATTTGTTCACACACTTGTTTGGACATTCACATATATCTTTTTGCTCTCACACTATTGTGTGATATATTTGATTCTCCTTGTGTTTGGAAAATAGAAGTATCATCGCAAACCTAGTGGTCTTCTGATTTCCGTCTTTCTTGCGTCAGGACTATTAAACTCTCGACGAGTACATAACAATAATTTGCCGACGAGTACATAACAGGTTTATATTTGAATTTTTATTTGTAAAGTTATGTGGGTATATTAGAGTTAAGTCTGATGCGATCTAATTGAAACCGCAATATCACTGTTCGCTTAAATGTCTTGTTCTAAATATAATTACTATTGTACTGCAGCTTATGAAAATGAATCGTCGAAAAGAAAATCCCCTTCGCAGTTTACATATCGATAAGATAATGTAATAATAATAATAATAATAACAAATTGTGAAACCGAGAATAGTTTACTGGCTCAGAGGAAAGTTAGTTGGGAGTTTGGCAGCCAACCCCCATCTATAGAAGAAGGAGAATCACTTTTGACTGGACTGGTTTGAGAAGTGACGACTCCTGCATGAAGACTTTGGATAAGTAGTCTGCTACTGATTCTGCTGTCTCCTGGTCCTCTTCGATTCTGTCACTATCAGTAGATAGATTTAGGATTCCGTTAAATGTCTTATTCCTGAAGGTCATGTATAGAAACATTTTCTTGGATTGTGCCATTGCATTTTGAGCTATATGCATTTCAAACTTCACATCCTTGATTGATGAATTCCTTCAATAGCTTTATTAATGACCATCGTCCACAGCTTTCTGACCTTAGAAGTCTCATGTGTAATCAGTGGGTTCCAGAATTTGTGCTTCCACCTGAGTAATATATTCAAATGTCTGTTTATCCATAGGGGACATTGTTTTCAACAATTTAGGACAGACCAAGGAGTGAAAGTCGGGGTTACCGGCGCATAAGTTTACTTGAGTTGGCTCCAATTGGCTTCCTTGTGAGATTCTGAATCTACGTGCCAGTCCTGTGATTCGACCACTGAGACGATGATGTCTATATAGGATTTCTAGACGTTTGTTAGAGCTGGAGTTTCCGCCCATGATACTGCTGTGGATGTGAACTTGGAAGTGAGCACAGTGTGGTCACTTCTTTCCACGGTCGGAAGATGTTTTATGTAGTTGACATCCTCCCTATGGGAGAAAATCAGGTTCAAGGTTGAGGAGGAGCGCTGTGAATCATAGCGCGTAGGCTTCGTGACATATCTTAGTAGGGCTGATGAAATAGTAGGTTATAACAGTTTATGGTCAATGATTTATCTAAAAATGGAGTTGTAAGGCCATCTTTTGGAGTGTTGAAGTCACCAACCACGAGATTCCGACTCATATATGCTAGTCCTTTTCTGTACTGCAGTCTGAATTCTATCAGTCAAGTTTGCCGATTACCTGCAACCATCTAATAACAACAAGGAGCACCATCACTGGAATTGAAACTTCGAAGCTCTTCATCTTCTGCTCTACTGAGAGTGTAAAGAATTAAAAGCACATACACTGCGTCATGTACAGTGTCCTGTCCTGAAGTGATTATAAAATAATCATGACTCAATTTCTTTAATTTTTCATTTGAACATCAATCACTTCAGTCAGATTTAAATAATTGACAACTGTAAATTATGCTTAGCGTCGGTGGTACACAGTGATAGAATACACGCCAAACTACGCGGCATGTGGTCCAGGGTTCGATCCCCGGCCGCTAATCCACTCCTTCACCTCGCTAAGTCAGTTATAAGACTGGTAAAGAGTGAAGGTTGGGACAAAGTGAGGCTTGCTAGCATACACATCCCGTAAAAAAAGAATAAGATAAGATAAGCTCTATTCCAAATCAGTACTTGCGATACAGAATGGAATTCTCAGCATTTTACTACAATATTGCATCCAGTTAGTACATTAACAATAAATATAGTTCTACATAGATTAAGGTTATCTCAGTCAGTTTTGACAACAACATATTAGCATGTCGGTAGCAAAGCCAAAATTTTAACAGTGTTTGAAGGTGTTAGAAAAGTAGATACTACTAGCATATTTACTGGCGTAAGCAATAGCAAAATGGTCGAGATAAACAGAGTGTGAAAGAACGAACAAGAATGTTTTAAGTAGAGCTTGTAAGGAAGAGAGAAACAAAACAGCACATAGCAAAAATAAATACAAAAAGAGAAAAAAGAAAAAAAAGGTAGAGGGAAAACGTTGTACCTGTAAATGATGTGACTTGGAAAGACGAGATCCATTTGTTCTACTGACTATTTAATAAGTTAAAGGTTTCCCGCCTAATACTTTCTTTATCGCACAGAACTCGAGCTAGGTAGGGTATGGATGAGTTTTTGTACTTGCTAGTGCGGGCATATAGCTTCCTATATAGGCTTCTGGTTTTCCCTGAAGAGATACATGGGGAGAGTTGTGAATGTACAGGGTGTTGTGAGTCAGATAAAATGGTTTTTGCCCATTTTTCACATGAGTCCATGTGCCTGTCCACCAGAATATTAACAAGCACCACTGCTACCGAAACTTCAAGCCTCTAGCTTGAAGGTGTCCTATGTTCCACTGGGGAATGTGAAGGAATAAAGGAAGAAGATATATATATATATATGCATGGATACTTACGCTTTCTCTTGTCAAATAACCAAACACTAAAGGTCCTAAAATACCAGGTAATGTTGCTGCAGTATTCGTTATTGAAATAATATTACCTGTACAGAAACAAAAAGAAAGAAAATAGTGAGCACACAAATGAATATTGATTAGTTCTGTGTATATGATTGACTTCATTATTACAAAAAGCAGTTGAAACCAGAATCCAGAATGCAAACTTTATCCGAATCCAGCTTCTTCAGGTGGATGTACACACAGGTGTAGCACTCGCAGCCTACATGATCTACTGGGAAACGCTTTGCGCGTTTGAAACGATGGGTTTCATTGTCATGTTTCAGTGGGGAAGACAAACATTCACTGGGGATTCCAGATACATCCGATTGATGAGTCCGAAAAAGGACGAAATGTACACTCAACAAAATAATATCAGCGTTAATCCTCAAACTCTGTCGAAGCGTACCTACTAGGAGGCGAAATCACAACAGAAGCTGAACATTTTAGTTCAGCCAAAATCATTGAGATAAACAAAATCCAGTTAAACCAAGCACCTTGAATCCGTACTATGATAAGCCATTAGCATTGTTTCGTCTTCAAGAGGTTTCATCAGATGTAGACTGTTTTACTTGAGGATAGTTATAAAAGAATAATAGATATCATGCTGTGAGTGTTAAACTGGTAGCGTTGAGAGTTAAAGATGTAGAAAGAGTGATAATTATGTCTCCACTTTTCTGACTCCCAGTTGACAAATCTGGCGTGAATAGTTCAGCATGATTTCGGCACTTAAGCTCCTTAAACATATATCCAAGGGTTACCATCAGTAAGAGCTCGAAGTTGTTTGTTCGGGTAGGCTCATTTCATCCTATTTGGCTCCCCAGAATGACGCTGTTGCCAGTAAGACTCGAGTAGGGTGTCCGTTACCTGAAACGCCGAAGTGTTATCTGCTAGGCCACTTAGCTAGAAGAGCCATCTCTTGTACAACGGGTACAATTTGAAATTATCGGTTTACATTTGTTATCTCACTTGGGGGTAAGTACCTTTACTTTACGAGAGCCAGGTAAGATATAATTTGTCTCTTGGAGCCCACTACTAGTCACCTTGAAAGAAGCGATCACAGTTTGTTGGTCGAATCATTGCCAAATTATATAACAAATAACAGATGTGACACTGAAGAGAGGGAAGAGACAAAATCTGATGGCAACCTGAGAGACTAAGTAACACAAGGCAGGAATTGAAATTCACAAGATGGAATTCAACCTAGCAGTCTGAGATCACTAGCTAAGTAGAACAAATTAATTCCATATCAGTTTAAAACCATTAGTCCCTTTTATAAATTTTTATAGCGTTATTAGAAGACGGAGATTATCTGAAAAATGTAATACGATGTATTTGCGCTATACACATTTCGAACAATCTGATCGTGCACACATTCACTTGTCAAGTCAATATATATGGAAAAGTTAAATTAAACAAAGTGACAAAAAAGAAATAAGAATAATTAACACAAAGTTTCGACACACATACATAGGGGGGAGTAATCGCGATTTGCATGTGAGGGTGGGCGAGCATATCCCAAAATGGTTAGAAAAACAAAGTGATATGTATCCATATATATATATATATATATATATATATGGTGATCTCTCTTTCTGTTTGCTCGCTTAGTCTGTGACCATTTCACTTTGATGAACCTGTCTCCTTTAACAATGTATATTCCCCTTATATTATATATAATATGAGTGTTTGTTGACAGTCCGTGGCTTGGTGACATATATCCATACTATATGTGTGTTTGTTTGACAGTCTGTTATATTTCGCTATGTAAATATGGATCGACACTCCATTATAATTAGCCATTCATGTTAAGACTGTCTATTGATTTGTTCACACACTTGTTTGGACATTCATATATATTTTTTGCTCTCACACTCTTGTGTGATACATTTGATTCTCCTTGTGTTTGGAATATAGAAGTATCATCGCAAACCTAGTGGTCTTCTGATTTCCGTCTTTCTTGCGTCAGGACTATTAAATTCTCGACGAGTACATAACAATAATTTGGCGACGAGTACTTAGCACAAATGAATTGTGAAAAGCCAATAGATGCAGGTGTCAGACTACCAACTTCGTCCATAGCTAGACATCTAATCGAGATGAACCATCAGATTGATGTTAACTCAGCCTTTAAGGTCATTTATAAAAACGGTTAAGGGCGCTAATTGAAATACGCTGAGGCTATAGCTACTCATAAACTTAAGCCCCCCCCCCCTTGTGTATTCAAAAACAGTTTATTATTACTCTTAACCTACCCTGGTAATCCTTATTTGATTGGATTACCAAACGTTGTGTTAATTATTCTCATTTCTTTTTTGTCACTTTGTTTAATTTAACTTTTTCATATATATCAACTTGACAAGTAAATGTGTGAGGGGTCAGATTGTTCGAAATGTGTATAGCGCAGATACATCACATCACACATTGCTTTTCAGATAATCTCCGTCTTCTAATAACCCATATTAGTTTGTTTATTAGATGTATCACACAGTGAGTGAAAAAGTATTATTTACTGGAAGATGTTTCGAACAAAACTTATTCTTCATGATCGTTGCATCAATTAAAATCACACGACTTCAAAACTTGAGTTTTGCAGTTTTCTTTGTTCTCTTCTATTTGTCGTCGTAGGGGTAGTAGATATCTGGGACAGGTGTTGAACGTTTCAATCGCTATGTTTTCTTACGTATCCATGAATATGTCTGTTATAATACATCAGCCGCACCCGGAAAGTCTGGTGGAGGTATGTAGATGACACATTCACTGTACTTAGAACACAGGATATAGAAAGATTTTTTGAAAACATAAATTCAATGGTGGAGGCAATCCAATTCACTTATGAATTGGAATGTCAGGAAGGGGAGCTTCCAGTGTTCGATTGCAGCGTAAAAAGGAAAGAAGATGGAATGTTAAACACATGCAAGTGTGTTTACAGGAAATCCTCCTGTACATTCAAACAAATATTTGAACTTCCGATCATCCCATCCTATCTTAGTGGAAATAGGATAGGTGTAATATTTAAGTAAGAGAGCACAAAAACTAAGTAGTACCAAGGAAAATTTAAGACAGGAAGTGAGGCTTATAAGAGAAGCTTTGAAACTTAATAATTACCCTGATAAATTAGTCAGAGAGTGTGTAGGGAAATGTAAAAATAAAATAAATAATGATAGTAGGGATAGTGATAATAATCATAATATTAATGAAGACATGCATGTCAAATATGCGCAATATAATGACAACACCAACAATTAGGAATCTAAATCATCACTAGCAATTCTATACAAAGGTGGAACCTCAGAAACCTTACTCAGAATTCTTAGCAAGGCAGGCAGGAATAAAAGTGGCTGGCATTCAAACCGCCCCACAAACTCAATTAGAAACAACCTTTGTCGGTTGAAGGATCCTGCCAGTGGAGCCAGTTGAACAAAACAGTTTAGTTTGTCTAATACCCTGCCTGAAATGATTGTCAGGTCAAATACATAGATGTATCGAATTAGTAAAACAGGGGCAGTCAGACTAGCCAAGCATGAAAACCTAGCAAAATCTAGATTAGTTGACCCAAATAAGATAAGATAACTGGAGAATAGTTCAGCTATTGCACTACGCCACGTGCAATTACACACAACCATCCATAATATAGGATGGTATAAGATTACAATTTTAAAATCTAATGTAACAGCAGGTTTGAGGGTTAATAACAGAAGCTTTGTTTGTCGAATCAACTACAAACCAACACGTGTAATAGGAATGATTCAACAACTGACCACGTGGACATCTGGAAAATTCTACTACCCCAACGACGACAAATAGAAGAAAACAAAGAAAACTCCAAAACTCAAGTTTCGAAGTCGTGTGATTTTAATTGATGAAACGATTATGAAGAATAAGTTTTGTTCGAAACATCATCCGGTAAATAATACTGTTTCACTCACTGTGTGATACATCTAATAAACCGACTAATATGGAATTAATTACTACCACAGTGTCCAAGTTTTACACAAACATCAATATGAATAGAACAGAGGATTATGTAATTCTTTTCGACGATGAACTATACTGTCTTTCTGCGAACACACATTCAATTTAGCAAAGAGTTTAATAGCTATCGCTCTCGATAAGCAAAGTAACCTCAGAATTATATGCACATATGATGTTTTAAAGGACTCGCAGATGTAAGCAGTATCTGTTGACAGTATGATATGTCTCGTATTTTTATGGATCAATTATTTACTTGCCTCTAAATGCACATTTGATGACATGCACTCCTAAACCAGAATGGAAGGTTTTCATTCAGTCCTTTCAGCTGGACTTATATTTCATACATTTATTTCCCTTAATCAATTTGAACAAAGCAAGAACTACAGTTTTAGCAGAATAAAGTGGTAACATCATTGCTTTCTCGTCAGCTGTTTACAGGCCACAGTCATTATTAAGTATATCTACAGAGACAATTTTAACATGCTTCCACACAGAGTTCCTTTTAAACAAAAATCAATCAATATATTCATACACTATATATATATATATGTAAAATTCAACACTATTCCGAACAATATTAATCATACACAATGGAAACTTTTCAGCATTTCGCATTCGGATGAAAAAGAGGTGAAAATATCCAGTTACCAGGGCAATGAAAGACTGATAACCGCTTCTTTCTGAACGCATAAATCAGGTTTCAGGCGCCTGATGTAAATAGCTTCAGCAAACGTGAGGAGAATTGAGCTCTTTTGCCTATTGATAATTTTGAACGACTTTTTGACGTCCACCTCATGACCGGTGTCGAGGAGATGCCTGGTGATGGATGGCACTGTTTAAAGCATTTGTTCCCTTTAGACGTAAGCTTTTTGGTACATGTTCAGAAAGTCGTAAATATGCTCTTCTTTCTGGCCTTCCAATGTAACTGCTCTCGCAGATACATTTAAATTTTTATATACATTTGGAGGTGTTAACATGAGAAGCATATCTATCGATTTTTGATTGCACCAAAGGGCAAGTCGTTCGATAGACGGGGACGAGCTTAGCTGCAGGATAGGCTATGGTTAGTGATGTACTCAGCCTCCTGTTGATCATAGCTGCAATGTTTTCACCTTTATAATCAAGCTGAACGTAGACTGGCTTTTTTCCACTGTGATTTGTTTTACATTTGTGAGTTCTGTACTTGTTGATGAACCTTTTAGGGTACCCATCAAAAAGGTATGGATTAGCGTAATGTGAAGCCTACAGTGTTCTACACTGATTAGGATTTTCAACATCAATGTAAAGTCAGTCTGTGCTTCTATATGGTTCAGAGAGTCGGTAGGTCACTGAAAGCATTACCAGGAGGTTACTGCAGGCTTCTATCAAGACCTTCACCATTCGCTGGCTCGATACTGAGGACTGGATCGTCAAGAGGAATTAGCTAGAAGGGACTCTAGCAACGAACCAGCCGAAAACCTATCGTCCACTAAATATGCCGATGGAAAGTGAGTTGGATTGAGCACAGGCTGAGCAGGCGGCTAAGTGGCATTACGCGCCAGGCAAACTCTGAATAGGAACCTGAATAGAAAGCGAAGATTTGGTCACGGGTCCAAGAGTGGTATGAAGGATATTGTATGAGGTGGAAACGTGAGCTTATGGGCTATGCTTATGGGACCCCCGAAAAGGGCGACAGAGAACAGAATGAAATGCAGATTTGCTACTTGAAGCCCTATATTCTATCTGGAGCCCAAAGGAATAATAACAGCGATCAATCACTAAGAGTTACACAAACAAAAATGATCCCCAAAGGTTATTCTACTACTAAAGAACAATTTCATAAAACAGAGGAAAACGCAAAACAAAAAAGATGATCGATGACATAACCTACCACTGTAAATTGGTGCTAAATCTAAAGAATTCGACCCATAACCAGCGAATGAGAATCCCATCAGACCAATAGTAACAGAGAATAAAACCACAGCACTTGTTCGATTACATCCAACAATTGAAACACATATCAAACTGAAACCAAGTCCACCTAAAGCTAGAAAAAAAAAGGAAGGAGAAGAGTAATGTGGTCGGTCAGGTGTAATGCTTAACTCATCGGTAGTTCTATCTACTGACCTATCTAGGTCTTCTCATGTCTTAGACATGTCTAAAACAATATTTCGTCTGACTGTTTACATTAGGAAGAGGTTAAGGCACCCAGGCATAACTCAGCCAACCCCTCCTCATCTTACAGTTTGTCAACTCGTGCATCTTACATATTCTTCCCTACTGTTCACCCTTATTCTTTCCTGGATGGCTTAAAAAAGACTATGTCATACTTCGTAGAACTCTGAAGACTGAACGTCAATAGGGCGATTGGTGTTATCCCCATTAGGCCATGTCGTTGACATCGTCACTGATAGGCACTTGATGTCATGCAACAAGTTTACTAAAGGAATTCTGTTAGACTGTGAGCACCCCTTTTACCCGCGGCTCAAATCTTGTGTCTTCTCGTGTAAAACAAGAAGTCTTTTCAGAAAACTTTATGCACGTACATGTATAAGTATAAAAATTCCACTATACTATATTTTGGCGGAACGTATTTTATGTGATGAAAATAATGTCAGGCATGAACTAAGTAACTAACTAACCTTCTTTGCACTACTAAATAAACCATTTCCTCCACCCTTGCAACATCAACCTTTATTGTTATTGTTCTTCTTATACTTCTAATCCTCGCAAGTTTTTGTTTTTATTTTTCATAAGCGTGAACATTTAAGCTGTGTTGCCACTGTTAATCTTGGATTTCCCCTCACCATGCTGCTATATCAACAGAACATTAGATCCGATAATCTATAACATGCTAAAATTTCAAACTGATTATATCGACAATACTGTTTGAAACAAACTCACTGTTATTATTATTATCGTAATATTTAATATTCTCAATTCGTACTTCGAATATTTTTGACTTTATATCGTAAACGTGAAAAATTCCTCTGTTTACTTTTGTTTTAATTTTATTTATATTTTGAGTAAATGAGATGCAGGATATTGTGACAAATGGTGAGAATTCCATTCTGTATTATAAGTAGTGCTGTTTTTGGAATAAAGTCGATTATTATTATTTTTTTGATTACAGCTTGATTCCACACCGTATTTTCGGTACAAGTATGGAATTTTCAGCATGGATATCGGTAGCCCGAAATTCGCAGGCCGACCATAGATATCAGGTGTGCGCCGGCGTGGGCTCGAACCTCGGACCATGTGCATGGTCGGTGAGAGTCCTAACCACTGTGCCACCGACGCACAGGCTACCTGGCTGTGGTTTACATAATGTTAAGAATAGCTAATGCTTCAGCTATGTACAGATGGCGTATCCAAGTCCTTTTGTATGATATTGAGGGACTCTGTGTATCACTGTGAAGCATTCATGTGGGGGGTGCTTGATGCCCAGTAGATGACAAGGTGTTCGAGGATAGAGCTGCTGCTATTCTTCTTTTCTCCTCTGGCTAACCAAGCTGGACAGTGTTCCAGAATACGTGTGTGGACTTGACTTTGTGTATGGCCGATATACTTTGCTGTACACGAGCAAATAAATGGATAAAAACACATTGAAGTGGCCAAAGACGGTCCTTAGCGTTAGACTGAATTAACTGTCTGCAGGAGAATGAGATATTTAGGGTGGCTGTTTGAGATTTGAAACCGGACCTCTGCATTCAAAAGCGATACATACATTCTCTCGTCCTACCATGGCCAGAGTAAAGTTCTTGCTACAATTTTGCTTCTTTCCTTCATTATGTAAGTTCACCATTGTTATCATTTTTGTTATTAATACTTTTATTATCATTATTATTCCCATCATCCATATTTCATTGCCAGCCACTGTATTCCTGTTTAATAATAACATTGCTTTTTCATACAGACTTGATACACAAAACACTTTATAGCCTTTCCACTAGTTCCTTTCCATTCTATACCAGCTTATTGATTATTCATTATCTCACAATGATTACCTCATGCCCACTTTATCGTTTTTCAACTTTCAATTAGCCATCTCTTCTAAGTGACACCTTATATTATGTAGAACAATTTTTCAAGGACAACGTTCACCAGTATCTGATTGGTCGAAAATTTCTGTGTTCATTATAATTACGATTGTACAGCAGCTCATGAAAATGAATCGTCGAAAAGGGAAAATTTTCTTCGCTGTTTGTGCCTTTTTATTATGACTCAATATGGGAATATTTCGTTTATAAATGAGGGAATGTCGGGTATGAGGCTAAAATCCCTACCCGACAGAAAACAGGAACATAGCCACTGGAACTTCAACACTTCAAATTTGAAGCTCTCTACTCCTTTCAGAACTCATACCTTCCTGTATATATATATATATTAAACAAATGAAAAGGATTATAATTCAATTCATTAAAATCTGACAAAGAGTCATTCATCGTAGGCTACAAATATCTTACGCCTTTACATTGAGCGACTTACCGATCAGGTTATTTATCTTACGTACCCAAGTTGTGGATAGATATCGCTTCATAATGAACAGATCAGAAAAGTAGGCGACGATAAAGCTGACAACTGATTGCGCAATATACGGGATAGATGACAATAGACCGTTCTATGCAAAGTAAGAACGGAGTAATAAACAAGTTAGAAATGTTAAGGGGAAGAACATTTTTACATATATTGTGGTGAGAGCAGGCCGTGAGAAAATATGAGCAAGGCTGATTCGACAACCAATCACAGCAAAGTTAACGTGGCAAAATATGATTCGCAGATAGAGAACTCTATTTGTCGAGGAATCCCGAAACAACCAATCAGAAGCCTGCGTTTGTCTGCCTAACTTCTGATAAACAACCAATCAGATAACGGCGCTTGTCTACTTGCATAAGCTATTATAATGTATGTGAAATAGGTATAAATACGTGTTGATTTTCATAATAAAACGATCTGTTGCCTGGCCCTTGTCTTCTGTTGTTACAATATCACCCAATAGTTTTACTCTCTTAATGTGATGAATAATTGGTGAAAGTCAGTCATTTCAATGTAGAAACCTACAATCATTATGGTAACTCCGTTATGGATAGGATTTTATTTTGATAAATCACATAGTGTAGTGTTATACAGTAATATTAACTGATGACCACCTTTCGAGCACAAATTATTACCACTCAATCCTATCAGGTCACTCAACACAACTTTCTTGCTTCATTTATATACATGTTTGAAATTGACTGGCGTTTATAAAAAGCCAACGCATTCTGCTAATAGATATTTAGACTTTAATTCAGCTCATCCGTTCCTCGTATGTAAAGGCTGGCTTAGATAAGTGTCTAACAAATCGAGCAATAGCAAGCACTATGTAGCACAAGAAAAGGCCTAAATGATGAAATAAAACGGATAGAAGAGGCATTGGCGTCAAATAATTAAGTATCCTATAAAATTCATTAGGAAGATTGAAAAAGGCCAAAAACAAAATAAAAATAATTGTGAAACTAGTAATGATAACATAAATAAGAGAGAATATAAGTCATCCACTGTTATACCATATAAGCAGGGGACATCCGAGACTCTCACTACGTTGGATTCTCTATAAAGCAGGGATTAGGCTGATGGCATTCAAACCTACAAACTCACTCAGTAAGGACAAGCTCTGTAGGCTAAAGGACCCGGTGGACCCGATTAAACAAGATAATATAGTTCACAAAATACTCTGCAGTCACTGTTGGGTCAACTATATAGGTCAAACTAGTAGATCGAGGGTAATAAGATTGTCGGAACATAAAAACTTAGCTAAGGCAAGAATGGTTGACCCCGAGAAGATGAGTAATTTAAAAAAGCTGAGCAATTGCACTTCACGAATTAACAAACCACCACACAGTAAGGTGGGAGAGGGTTAAGATTCTAAGAAGTAATATAGGTAGGTGAGGAGAGAGATTATTTATTGTATCCTGGTTCATTGAGTCTACACCCAACACATGCAACAGAAATGAATCAACGCAAATACCAGAGATATGGAAGGTATTATTACCACCACTCAGTCAAACCAGAGGAGGATAATAAATAATCTTAAATTGTATCCTATTTCAATTCAAGCACATCACAACATTCTAACAAGTTACTTATTATGACTACAAAGGAAACACTCGTCTTATTTCCCATCTCTGATTGTAATTGATCAATAACACTCATATTATTATTATTTCTGAATGTACATTATCCTGTATTGATTTTTATTCAAATGTCTAATCATCAATTTCACTCATGTATATAAATGAAGTAAGAAAGTTGTGTGAGTGACTTGATATGATTATGAGTGGCAATAGTTTGTGCTCAAAACGTGGTCATCAGTTAATATTGCTGGCTAACAACAGTGTGTGATTTATCAAAATAAAATCGTGTCCATAATGCAGTTATACTCTACCACCACAATGTCCAAGTTTTTTACTTATAATCTTTATGGTAGTTTTCAACCTCAGCTATTAATCCCATGGATTTTAACTCCATGCACCAATATTATTCGTTCCAAGTAGATCATACGGCACATATTCACCCCACTCTGTGTTATCTGTTGTCATCACATACCAACTGTCAGAACCTCCTCACATGACCTTCTCCATGTCACCCTTGAACGTCTAACATGGAGGTGAAAGTCTACACCTTGATGAAAATGCTTTCCATGATGCAAAAAGTTTCTGAACCATGTAAAATCATTGACTGGACGTTGATGTTGAGCATTCACATCATGTTCCCTATGCTTAGTGCAATAGATTCTCGGTTAATAACCCCTTCCTGTCCTCGCGAACACCACTGGCTTTGACATCTCCATCTGTTCTATCTGCGTCTGCAATGACTCTATCTAGGTGAGTGGAGAGGGGGGTTTCCTTCAGACTTCTCTCTATGATAGTGATTGGTGCTCCTTGTTATTGACTGGACGTCTCTGCGTTCCCTTGAAATCCTATCTTCGCTGAATAAGTGCTCTGTCAAATTTTGGTTTCCGCCTGTGTGTCTTTGCGTTTATGTGGAATTAGATGGAAGTCATCTGTAAAGCCCAAGTCTTCTACCAAATTGAAGTATGCGCTGAAGATGTCACCCAGTGAGGTGATGAAAGCTTCGCAAACTAACCATCCAGCTCAGAGAACAAAACCACACCAAAATCATCCACCTGAGCTACAAATCTTCTCTATCATATCTAGAGTCTTCTTGTCGGTCCAGCATATGTCTATCTCCTCGCCTTCAAGGTCTGCAATATGCTCCCGTCCACCACAGTAAGGAATACTATTGCGGCCGTATGCGGGCTTGTCTTACGTTTCACCTTACGTTTCGCCTTGGTAATAAAAAGACTTGAACCTGTCTGTCTTACATGTCCAAGAGATATTGGTTATTACTTTAAACCTGTCTTGGTAATCCAATTTAGAACCAAGAAATCAATTTACTTCATTATATTTTAAAGTATTGGTTTTGTAGGGATTTTGTTTGATTGCATGGAGGATTCCATCATGAGCTGACATCAGTTAGAGAACCACTGGAAAACCAGCTGGGAGTACTGGAAAGCTGTTTCGTCCTAGTTTGGGACTCTTCAGCAGTACGCACACACAGGGGTTCGAACCCAGGACCTTCTGGCTGCAACCTCTTCTTTTTGCTTCGTTTCTCTCTTTTTTCTTTTTCTTACCCACACCTTTGCATCATCTCCCTACCCACTATTCGTGACCTTGACCTGTACACAATCTGACCTGGATTGTAATTATTCATGCCTTCTTGCCTTGTATGAAAACTGTGTATGACAAGTGCTAGTGTGTGTGTGTGTGATCAGAATATCCGAAATGTGTTGCGCAAATACCCTACACTACACGTTTCAGATAAACTACACGTCTTCTTCTTATTGTATTGTCGAAATTCTTACAAGGAACTAATTGCTTTAAGTGATTGGTTGATGATCAACAGTTGATGACTGGTAATTCACTTCAGCTCATCATAAAACGCAACTAAAATCCAGCATTATTTATTAGTAGTCGCCTGCTGGTCCAACACATTTAACATCATTGGTCAGTACTTGTCTCTAGGATCTCACGAATGATTGTGCAATCGGTCAGGTTAATTATTTATTGGTTGGAATTTCTGAATTTAGTAAAGCTTTTATATAATGTACTCTAATATACTAAGGTCGACTCTTATCATAGGTTCGGACTAATCAACGTTTTGTGCTTATCTTTTTCTTTGATTACAGTTTAATGCCACACTGTATTTTTGGTACAAGTATGTAATTTTCAGCATGTCATATCTGTAGCCCAAATGTTTCAAGCCGACCATAGATATTGGGCGTGCGTCGACAGGGGATCGAATCCCGGATCATGTGCATAGTCAGCGAGAGTCCTAACCACTGTGCAACCGACGCACATTGGTCGTGGAAGTCAAGAGGTCTAGGGATGCAGGACTAGTGACTCAGCAGCCTTTAGACAAGTTAATTATCACCTTTTCAGACTGAGATGTATTAGCAGCATTATTGTTAATGCTAGTTATATCAAGCTACATCAAATTTTGATGACGTTATCTAAGCCCAGGCAGCGGTATCTTTATCGTTAATAACGCAGATAAATTTATTGATTTGGCTGGAATTTAACCAAATTTGTGGGGTAATTTAGTTATCTATTAATATTAGTAAAAAGACAAGTGAAATATGCTATCTGAGTGATAGCTGCTAGCAGTGAAATCCATGACAGCTGTTTCGTCCTGTGTGGGCTTCATCAGTTTGGTGAGCCTCCAGTGAGTCAGTGAGTCATAGCATTCTCAATGGCAACTACGTAAATGAAGTGTGTGTGTGCCTGATGATCACTTTCTCAGAGCTGGTAATCTCACCTACTTTTTTCCACTAGGAATTACAGTACAATGTACGGATGACGAGTCCTCGATAAGGACGAAACACGACTCATGGATTCCATCACTAATCAATATTTAATTAAAAATTACGGTTAATCACTTACTTCAGCAATACTAAAGCCTAGTACACGTGACATATATGTTGGCATACCAGTAATTAAAGTGTAGAAGGCCCAGTTATAACAAACATGACAAATTAAAATCGCCCATACTGGACGTGATTGAAATATTTTTCGCCAAGGTACATAACGTTTTTGTATGATATCCAAATCGATGGATAAAGTATCTAAACTGAAAGAAGATGAAAATAGGTGGGGGAGTTTGAGTGAGTAAAGATTTCGTATAAAGTCTAAGGAAAAATAAGGTTGATTATGATAAAATTTATGGTCCTATTCTCTGCTTTCAAGCGGCGGCGGCGGCGGCGCCAGAGGTGTTCCTCAAAAAGGTGAAAGGGCGAATGCTGACATATGGCGCTTAAAACCGGACTAGTTGACATGTAGGTCTACGCATAAGGGATCTAGAAAACCCTGACTCCCATCCAGTCTATGGGTACATCGTTTTCAGAATCCGAGTGGATCAAATGAAGTATGTGTATGTGTTTTGGTCACCGGCAACCGTGGGGGAAAGTAGTTCAGAATGCATCATAGGCTTCATGGATTGATGCCAATTTTAGTCTGGCCACCCTTAAGTATTTTCTAGTTTAATATTATTTCCGATAACATTGCACCTCGGTATGCACAACATATGTTTCAGCCATCTCAGTCGTTGTTGTTTTTACCACCTTACCAACTAGCACTTGACCCCTAAACTTAGTATCACTCATCACATTGTATCAGTTAACACAGAAGGCAGGAGACAAAGACGTATGATCAAAACACCAGGGCTATCACATTTTACATTTTCAACAGCCATCCATGTCTAATGGCCAGAGAAGAGGACGGAAAGAACTCCTGCTCAGCACACATGTCTCTTGATAGATAGCCAGTCGGACATCATGTCTACGCCAGAGGTGACGTAAATTGACAAACGCCTAATAAGCTTTTCGTATCCGCATTGAGACTTCGCCAGCAATCAGTCGATTGGAGCTGACTCAACTTTCCGAATAAGCTATGCGGTCAACACGCTGTACCATGCTGTACCTTCCTCTACTTTTCAGCTAAGAGTTGGTGTGGTTCACTTGTGTGACGTAATCATCCTAAGATTGACAGCAGAGGATCACATACCAAACATTCAAGGTACTCAAGAGACTCTGCATTCTGTTAGTGTCTTCATGTAGGAGGTTATAGTACCATTCGTAAACTCTATATCCACAAGACTGTACCCTAAAAACAAGTCAATCCTTAAGCCGCTAAAGTCAGTTAAGGTTAGCCCGACCAAGGGCACCCCTGATGACCTCAACCTTAAGTAATAAAAATGACTATCCAGTATTTAAATTGTATCAATGTGTCTGCCGAGTTCTGCTGGTTCACGTGAACAGTTTTTGATACACACATCAACCAGGAATGCATACTATCATTCTATTTCGCCCATCGATTTCTGCTGAACACATGATGATATGTAATCATCGAGCTAAGCTAAGAACCTACTGACAAGCAAATATACAGATGCAAATGTAGACGAATGGATCAGCTATACACAGAGGCAACATTACACTTCAGGTCGTCGAGTGAAGTCTAAATGGAAAGCAACAGGTTGATCATCCGAGAATGACATTGAGGAAATCACATGAAGTTAGAAGGGAAAGTTTGTAGGCAGAATATATATGTGCCTCTGTAGCCATAATTTCCACTCGGAATGGTCAAAACTTCGTTGAAAAAAATGAGTCTAAATCTGATCTTTCCAATGGATTTGATCAACATAAATCTGTTTGAACGAAGAAAGAAGAAACATTGGTGCACAGAATAATCTGGATCCATTTTATTTCGTTGGTTCTCATCAGCTGCTGCGTACACCCTGAAAATAAAAAAGTGTACAATTTTAACAAACCTTTGTCCATCAGCAAGCATACTTTCAGAACGTCATAGTAAAATAAGGCGTTGAGATTTACAGGGTGTTTAAAGTGTTACGACATATATATATATCTTGTTAGAGAGAAGTTTCTCTCTATCCTGGACAAACTCTTCACTGGTGCAGTCAAAGATTGACAAGTACCCCTCACATGTTACCTCCAACTGTGTATACCAATCCACATGTATCTGTGGGAGGAGTTAAATTGGAAGAACAGAGAGGAGTGATATGTATCCACATATATATTTATATGTGTGTGTGTATGTTGGTCTCTCTGTTTGCTCGCTTAGTCTGTAACCATTTCACTTGTATGAACCTGTCTCCTTATATATAATATGAGTGTTTGTTGACAGTCCGTTGCTTAGTGACATATATCCATATATGGTGGTTGTTGACATGTCTGCTATATTTTGCTATATATATATTTCGTTCTCACAATTTGTGTGACTGACTTACTTATTTTTGGTGTGATACCACTTTTGCATTCTCTTTGTGTTTGGAAATAGAAGTATCATCGCAAACCTAGTGGTCCTTCTGATTTCCGCCTTCTTGCGTCAGGACTATTAAATTCTCGACCAGTTCATAACAATAATTTAGCGACGAGTACATAACAAGGAGGGCCTATGTCAGATTCTGCAAACATATATCAAGGAGCCTCCGGTTAAAGGGACCGCATTGTTTTTAAGCTCTTCAATCGCCAAACACCTGATTGACACAGGACATCGAGTAGATGTGCTGGAATCATTCAAAGTAATTAACAGACAAAGTAGTACCTCAAGTCTTCTAAGGTTTGCTGAAGCTATAGATAGCAATAAAACGATTGAAGCTTGACTTATGTGTCCAAAAAGAATCCGTTGTTGGACTTCGAGTACCTTGGTGACTCACTTCTTAGTAACTCTCTTTGTTTTCTAATTTTCTTAACTTATCTCTTCACTCCACCCCCTCCCTTTATTTTTCATTTGACTCTCTTAAGAGATCATTTTTCTTGATCTTCTGAGTTCTGCTCACTGTATTACATCATCAAATTCTCATCTGACCTCAACTGCACTCTTATCCGATTACTTAACTATTACTAATTTTTTTTACCACCCCGACCACACAACGGTTAATTAATTTTTTTCAAGGAACTCCTCTCTAACAAGATAAATATATGTTGCAACACTATAAACACCCTGTAAATCTCAACGCCATTTTTCACCATGACGTTGTAACAATATGCTTGCTAATGGACAAAGGTTTGTTTAAAGTGTACACTTTTCCTTTAATTTATGAAAGAATTCAGGTTGTACGCAGCTGATGATGAGAATCAACGAAATAAAATGGATCCAGATTATTCTGCGCGCCAATGTTTCTTCTTTCTTTCTTCAAATTTATAAAAGGGAATCATTGTATTAAATAAATCTGTTTACTTTCTTTATCATGAATATTGCAAATCCTGACACCCAGCGATCAGATGGCCGGAAAGAATCACCAACAAAGGATTATGGGAACAAACAAAGCAAGAACCAATCGCCAATCAACAAATATGCAGGAGAAAGTGGAGATGGAACGGACACTCACTGAGGAGACCGCTGGGTGACATCGCGCGTCAAGCCCTCGAGTGGAACATGAAAGGGAGGCGGCGTGCGGAACGTCAGTGCAAGGGTGACATGGAGGAGATCATGTGAAGAGGAGTTGAAACAGTATGGACTAACATGGATACAGGCGAAAAGTATAGCAGAGGACAGAAGCGAATAGAGACGCGCAGTTGAAGCCCTATGTTCCACTAGGAACCCAAGGGAACAATAATAAATAATAAATGACACTCAACAGTAAATTTAACAATGTCGATAACAAGGTTTAGAAGGCTTTTCTCCGGTTGGTCAACGTTGAATATTTCGTTGTATTCAAAAGAAACATATTCAGCCTGGTCGATGGTGAGCAGCATTACACATCATTATCTGATGGAGATAAACTAAAGTAACTCATGAAAATCAATCTGGTGCTAATTAGCGAGTGACTACGGGACTAAGTTGCCACAGAGTTCTCATGACACGTCATGGCCAACAGTTCCTACCGGGTCGGGTGTGAGGACAAATACTCACTTACAGCATTCTCTAGTAGTCACACTAAAATCCCAAATCGACAGAATAAAAAGTCAAACGTCTACCTTAACTTCATCGACTTCGAAAAGGCCTTCACTAGACAGCATCGACCGGGAATTAATTTAGAGACTACTTTAACACTAGTGCGTGCAGTGGCCAAGTCGTTATACACCTCATTCAACAGTGGGCTATACAAAAATGCCACGTGTCAAGTGATCCACAATGGGAGACTCTGTGAGGCGTTCGAAGTGTATATAGGAGTAAGACAAGACTGGCTGACCATTATCACTGATAATATCCTTGATTGTGGTGAGGTGGATTATGCGTCAGACTGTTGGGGACGAGGAGTCAGGAATAGGCTAGACGACCGACAAGAAGACTCTAAAAGATCTAGATTTCGTGGGAGGATGATATATGTTTAATGTCACACACACTCGGAGACTTGCAAGTGAAAACCAAAAAACTGGCTGAAGAGGCTGGCAGGGAAAGTGGGACTACAGGTGAACATCAACAACAACGACAATCAGCATCAATCACCATCAATGACGGGAGAGGTTTATCAGAGGTTGCCTCCTTCACTTATCTGGCTAGGAAGCATCGTTTCAACTACAGGCCAGTGGAAATCGGAAAGGGAATATAGGCCTTCATCAACCTGAGAGCAGTTTGGAAATCGTGCGCACTGACTCAGCATAAGGAACAAGATTTGCATTTTCAACACCAATGTCAAATCGGCTATTTTTTCTATGCAGATCAGAAACTTGGCCAGCTTGTCACGGAAAGGATTTCCGACGGTCTATTGCAGACTTTCATGAACAGCTGCCAACTTCGCCAGCTCCATACTGAAGATCAAATAGCCAGAAAGAATCAGCAAGAAGAAACTCTGGCTGGGAAAAAACCAACCAAGAGCCGATCGTTCAACAAATCTGTGAGAGCAAAATGGAGATAGATGGGGCATACATTGAGGAGGCCACCGAATGACATCGCACGCCAGGCCAGTGCTCGAGTGGAATTCAAATAGGAAGTGACGGGTGGGTTGCCGTTGCGAGAGTGACATGGAGGAGATCATGTGATGAATAGATGAGAGTTTGGTCAATCATGGACCCGGTTGAAGAGGGCGTCAGAAAACAGAAGAAAGCGGAAATCTGTTGTTGAAGCCCTATGTTACACTCGGAACGCAAGGGAATAATAATAATAATAAGAGTTGGTCGACCACTGGATTTCGTTCAAGTAACTGCATGGCTAACGAACTCGCCTCGTAACCTGAAGGATCCTGTGTTTCATCCCCGATAGGATCATTAATATGCACTGATGAAAAGCCTCAAATATAGGACGAAACAACTGTCCATTCGCCATAAAACTTGAAGCAGATGAAATCCATACAAGATTTATTAGTGTGAAATATTCCCATATCGGATGAATTAAAAGTCAATCTGAACGAAGAATATTCTTTTCAATACTAATCTCTCTTTAGATTCTTACAATTATAAAATACAAGGCTTGTTATTGTTACAAGAATAATAGCCCGTTATGCGGTGGATAGATTTTTCCACAGAATAATAGATTTGTTATAGGGTGACAAGATTAAATAGTATTGGGTGTGACAATACTGCTAGGCAGGTTCGAAAACATTTACCAGCTTAGTTCAGTATATATAGCAGAAGCTCGATTCAGTCATACTTAGGCCATATTGAACATCGCATCAATGCCAATACAGCCCTCAGGGTCTTTATCACGTACAGTTCAGCTACATCTTCCACATATCTAGCTGAAGCTGTTGCAATAAGATCGACGAAACTGGAACTTTGTATTCAAAAAGAACAAGTCCAGCCACTGTTCCTACCAGGGTGAAAATTGGATTAAAGTCCCCTCTTCTGTCCAAGGGTGTCTCTTCCCCTCATATATCTCATTTTTTCTTCTGCTTTGCTTATTATTACAAATAGTCGTATTATTATTATTCGTCATAATTTATGGCCTTCATGCAAACATTCTCTCAATACTATCGAACATTCCATTCATACTATCCGGAAGTTATGTTAGTGATATTATCTCTTTTCTCAATATGTATGCCTCCACCTGTTTCATTTCGCATATCCGTTATTTCATGATGAACTTCTCATTGCAGTCTTACTATCTCCTCTTCTTTAATACATACCACTTTGTACTAGCCACTCCACTCACCTGACACCTTTTATAACCTTGAACTGACTTGTCAATTCTACCAATCTATTATGACTAGTCACCGTCCACATTGTCTCCTATTTCACCGAAATATTTTGTGATCGATTTCAGCCTAGCACAACATTTGTCACACTCAAATACGACTATTTATTTATTTTGACACATCATAACTACTAACCTGTTATTCTACGTGAAAAATATATCCACCGCATAACTAACTGGCCATAATTATTGTAGCGACAACAAATATGATACATTATAACTATAAGAACTTGAAGAGAAATTATTGAAAAGAATGTTTAAGTGTTTGTTTGCCATGATTTGATTGGTTGGAGGATTTTATCATGATCTGACATCAATCAGTTATAGGACCACGGAAAAACCTGGGAGGTCTTGGGTTCAACCCCGGTGGATGCGTACCGATGAAAAGTCCCAAACTAGAAAGAAACACCTGCCCAGTACTTCCAGGATTTCCGATGGTTCTCTAACCAATGTCAGTTTATGATGAAATCCTGTAACCAATCAACCAAATCCCTACAACCCAATGCTTGAAATCACTCTGATGCTATCTGAAGACTGATCCTATTCACGTAGGTATTTGCCTGAGTTCTAATGAGTGACCGTGACCAGTGGGGTACAGGAGGTCGAGTGTGAGGATAAATACTCACCACTGATGATGATATTAGCTAGTGGTCGCACTCTACATCGAGAACTGGCATAAGTTGTAATTCATGGGATAGCCATTGGATCGGGTTCCATTGGTTTAAAGATCTACGACCTAGCCGTTTAACCAGAAGGTAACCTGGGTTTGAACCCTTGTGGAGGATACGTACAATGGAATAGACCAAAACTAGGCTGATGAAACAGCTGTACAGTACTCTCAGCTGATTTTCAATGGCTCTTTAACCGATGAATATTCTTCGTTAAGACTGACGTTTAAATCCATACAAGTTAACTCTTGAAAAGTAAATCGGTTTACTCTTTTTTTTAAGTAATTTACCTTCTTGATGAATAGGCGAATGATGCCATTGATGGTTTCACTACCTGTAAACAAATTTTTTTGAAAAAAGGTTGAATGAAACAAAAGGATTATTGAGATAGTTTTGATTCATAAATAAAATTATTACAGATAGTATGAGTTTTAAAACAGAATTTTTGAAAAAAAAACCAACTCGAAACAGCCGTTTTTCAAGTTAATCTGCTTGTTACTGACTGTGATGTTCACAAAATGTACACATTGGATCATAGGAATTATTAAGAAGACAGTTGCAGCAAAGAAAAATTCCTTTTCAACGAAGTTATCAACTAGGAGGCTGTACATTCGTGTATTTATATCAAATGGATGGGAAAGTTCCAGAATAATTTCCCGTTAAGGGTCAAATTTATGTAAAATTACAACTAGGGGCAAAGTTAAACTTTAGACACCACTAACAACCAATCAGCAAATGACCTTGAACGAACCAATTACATTAAAGAGGCATATATGATGAATGGAAATGTATATTTATAGAAAAAAGCACAAAATAGAGAATAAAAAAGTTACATGGGATATCTTTCTCGAATATGTGAGAGAAACATCTCCCAGTTTAGCATGGGACTGTCAATGCTTTTGCATCTGCTATCCTTTCGACGAATCCCTTTCGGAGGGAGGTGTCATACAAACCTATTACCCAAATATTGTTTGCACGCTGGCGACCACGGTTGTATTTCTTTTTTACCAGCACTGTCTCATCGACACGCACGATAACGTCTTCCCCACCTAGCAAACAAGTGATTTTCCCCATTTTCCATGATGCGATGTCTCTGCAATGCTGGTACCACTGAACTGTTGAGACATGGCTATTCTCCATCTCGGCAGCTGCTGCTCTCACAGCCTGTTTCAACACCCATTAGTTGCAGATATACAAAATCCGGGTTAGGGAGAGATGCGACCTAGCGAAAGTAAGTTCCTACGAAATATTAAAATTATCAGCTTACCCTCTCCAGATGAACAAACCCATCAGTTGATTTGGTATAGCTTTTTAAAGTAATGATATCACCACACAAACAAATTCGCTCTTTCCGGAGCAACTCAAATCCAGGAAATACTGGAAAACGCTAACCTCCTCGAATTGCAACAATAGCTTTGTAAGGTCACGCATTAGAAATGAATCAAGCGCTATACAACATTGGACTGCGTTCGTGAACCTCATTGGATAATTCGACATCGTTCGTGAATCTCATTGGATAATTCGCTGATTGGTAGTTAGTGGTGTCGAAAGTTTAACTTCGCCCAATTAGTAATTAAAATGCCATAACAAACAGGAGAGGGATTGATAAAATTGAAACAAAGTGGCATCATAATTGCCGAGAAGATTGACATTGTGCAATTGGGAGTTTGAAATGTAGAAATAACAAAAGTGGACAGGGAGTTTGGATAAAAAAAACCTAGTGGGATCATAACTAATATGACGAATAATTGTTTATTCAATCAGGGATTAAATATGTAGAAATAATAAAATAACAAAGCCTACATGGAATAGACAATTCATCAACTTTCAAAGCTCTAAGCAGAAAAAGGAACCTGATATACGCTGTTTCCTCGAGGATTTGAAAGATAAGCAGAGAGGAAGTGATTGACGTAGAATCCTGATAGAGAACGGATTCCGCCTAGGTTTATACACAAGAATCTAATAGCAAAGAAGACTTCCGAACAGGCCTTATCCGTCCCGAAGAGGATACTTCTGCTTAATCCAGAATTCAAAGCTGACAATCAGGCAGAAATCCTTCGTAAATGGCTCTCCAAATCGCTGAGGAAAACATACTTCGCCGCGAGCCTACGACTGACGTTTTCCTGCAAGAAATTATTCGGCAAGAACGTGAAAGACAAGCTGTCGCATTGAGCCACCTCAACGTGCATATATCAGTTTACTTGCTCTTGTGGAGCTGAGTACATCAATCGTACCATGCGCTGACTTTAAAAAATGTGATCGTGAACACTACCCAGCCTGGCTAGTAAAAAGAGACTAAAAACATGTATGCAGTTCAGTGACAGAACATCTGGTCAATTCAGGACATTGAGCGCCATTCGAAAAATCCTTCAAAATAGTATATGAGATTCGATCAAACCTATCAAAGGGAGTGAAATTAAGACATCTGGTCAGAGCCGAGGTACTAGCCATCCAAAGGCTCAAACCCACGCTTTGTATCCAAAAGAAATAAGTACAACCCTTGTACCTGCCATGGACACAGTAATGACTATCTCATCGCCTTTCTTATCTAAACTTCCTGTTTATTCATGTTATTTTTAAGTTTTTCTTAATCCTTTCACTATTTACACTACCATATTTTCATATCCGAGCTTCCTGTCTATTTTCTTATTTTACTATTTCTACATATTTAATCCCTGATTGCATAAACAATTATTCATCACATTAGTTATGGTCTCACTAGATTTTTTTATACAAACATCCCGTCAATTTTGGTATTTCTTCATTTCTTACCCCCCCCCCCAATTGCACAATATGCCCCCCCTGTTTATAATGACATTTTAATTTCTAATTTTATTAATTTGATCCTTAACCGGAAATTATTCTGGAACTTTCCCATCCATTTGATATATATACACGAATGTACAGCCTTTTTGATGACTGTGATATTGTGAAACTTATAAAGTCATGACAGCTGTACTACTGATTCGTTGGGCTGAGTAGCTTTTGCTATCAAGATCAAGGCGATGTAAACACCAGGCTTCCTTCTCGCTTCTTTGGAGCCGAGCTCATCAGCGGTGTACCCAGTTTTTTCCCCAGCTCAAAGGGTGAATGAATTAATTCACTTCACAATCTGGCTAGCGATGACTCATGGTTGATGTCAGCTACTCATTTCGGTTGATCAGTAGTATTTAAAGTATCATGCATTTACACTCTTGTATTTAAATAAAGCCAGAACAACCGTGTGGTCTGTGCATAATGAGAAGATGGCACCATCATTGCTGATTTCGTTCGTTGGTTTCTCATCAGCTCAACTGCTGCTTACAGCATAAACAAATTATAAGATTTGTGTACAGAAAGTTTTAGCCTACTTGCAAAATCTGAATGTCAGTTTACAGAAGGTTCCATAATTGGTGAACAGTGCTCAAAAAATTGCGCTTATATAGTTTTTACACAGGCAGTTCAATTTTCAACAGAATAAATGTAGACAGAAGACAAGTAGTTCACCGAAGAGTCTCTTTTCGGCGAATTCATTTTCATAGCTGTACAATCGCAAATAACCATATATATTTGCGATTGTACAGCTAAGAAAATGAATTCGCCGAAAAGAGACTCTTCGCTGAACTACTTGTCTTCTGTCTACTAATGTTCGAATGAGAATTATTCATGAAAATAAATGTATGCATACAATGGTAAAGGAGTTACGTAATTGAAAGGTGAGAGATGCGTAAGATGCTGAATGACTAATAAATTAGGTAACAATGTACTGTTGAGTTCAACTCAAATCATAGAAACAAGAGACAAGCAAAATTACACTGTATCAAACGGGTGAGGTTAAAGCCAAAAATTATGTCATCAAAATGAAATAAAAAGACATCCGGTTAACAGGATGGGCAAAGAAAGACTGATAACTGTTTTTTTCTGAACACATAAGTGAAACTCTTGAAATCAGATTTATGTGTTCAGAAAGAAGTAGTTCTTAGTCTTTTCTTGCCCATCCCGGTAACTGGATGTCTTTTTTTTCTCTCTTCATTTGATTGCGTAATCTTTGGCTTTAACCTCACGCCCCCTCCTTTGCCTACTGATGATTTAAAAGGATTTCGTGATTTCCGCCACATGACCCGTATCGAGGAGATTTTTTTTGTATTTTTTTTTATTACAGCTTGATTCCACACCGTATTTTTTTGGTACAGGTGTGGAATTTTTGGCATATGATATGGGTAGCCCAAATTCAGCACGTCAACCACTAATATCAGGTGTGCATCGGTAAAAGATCGAACCGCAGACCATGTGCATGATCGGCGAGAGTCATAACCGCTGTGCCACTGATGTCTGGTAATAGAAGTAATATAAGAATGTTTCCCCTTGAGCGCAATTTCCTGAGCACTGTTCACTTATTGTGGAATCTTCTGTCAGCTGACATCATGAAGAAAAATATTTACAAGTATGTTAAGACTTTTCCGTACATAAACTTAATAATAATTTATGTAGGCTGTAAGCAGCGTTGAGTTAATGAGAAGCCAACAAACAAAAGAAGCAATGATTGTCCTATCTTCTTATTCTGCACAAACCGCCACTTTCATTTTTTGCTTCATTCAAATTCATCAAGGGGAATAAATGGATAAAGTTGTGGTGAGAGCAGGCTGCTAGCCAATTGGTAGACATTAATTTACGTCAATGTCTAGGTCACTAATATTGGTCGTGAGAAAATATGAACAAGACTGATTCAACAACCAATCACAGCAGACTTAATGTGGGCAAATATGATTCGCAGATATATGGCTTAACTTTCTGAGAAACAGTCACAAACAGTACAGAATAACCTTAAGCAGAAACAACCAATCAAAAGACAGTGTTTGTCTGCTTGAATAAGCTATAATAATGTACATGAAATATAGATAAATATGTGCTGATTTCCTTGATAAACGATCTGTTTCCTGGCCCTTGTCCTCTGTTGTTACAAAGTTACTGTTTGAATTCTTGATGACATATTGAGATCTTGTAATTTCAGCTTCTGAAATGAAAGTTGTGGTAAGATTTTACCTAGAATTCTGTAAATTATGAACTCTAAGTGTGAATAAAGAAACACAGTCTTTGAACTAAATCGGTCATCAGTAAAACATGTCAGATAATTAGATGGTTGGTGTAATCGGCGGGAAGTCCTACCAGATGTAAGTGTCATGCTGGCTGTTAATCACAATTCAGCAAGGCGTAACTGCAACCTTGAAAGAAACTTGTGTTCCCTATTAGATACGAATCCATATCCCCCTTGCTGCGGTCAGAGATGTTACTAGTGAGCTACACTAGTTAATAACTAGTGTCACCTCAATATATTGTAGCTTAGTTGGTAGAGTT